CTCTGTAACATGAGTTTAACGTTTCTCCAAGAAAATAAAGTGGGACCAGGCATGTCTGAGCACAGCTCCTCATCTCTATAACTTGTTATCCTCATCCTGCTTAATTAATATGAATAATACATTTTAAAATAATACCTCTACTAATGGAGCGTGGGGGGAGCAGAGGAGCACTTCTCTAATTAGGGCTTGTGCATGACATTGGGAAAGGCTCTGGGTTCAATCACCTCCCCTTGCCGAGGGGTGAATTAGCATAGATTTAATGCCAGTGATAATTTCATGCCGTGGGGAGATCAGCAGTTTAATGCATCTGGCAGCCAGACAGGGATTTTCTCCCTGTGCCAGCCCGGAATAAAGCCCTGTAATCCTTTTCCTTCAGCTCTCCCACCCATCCAGGCTCCGGCTTAAGGAAAGGCCAAGGCAGGCAGGAGGTGCTGAGCCCCTCTGGCTCAGACTGAGGCGCTGCCCTGGCACATTTTGTGCTTCAATTCATTCAAAAGATGAATAAAAGCTGCCCTGGAGGGCCAAGTTTGCATTTCCACCACCTGGGAGCTGCAGGAGGCTCCAACACAGCGCAGAGTATTTCTCCATTTATTTCTCTAACCACCTTCTACAGCAAAAATCGAGGTGAAACAAGAGAAACCAGGCCGGTTGTGATTGTGGGATTTTACTTTGATGGTTTTGGGAGCACCACATTAGAGCTGGACCCCGGCCTGGCAGCTCCCACACAGAGATTGCTGAATTTTCAGGTGTCTTGGGTGTCTTGGGTGGCAATGCAAGACGCAACCAAAAGGATGTTTCTATTGCCAGCTGTTAAACCAGCTGTGGCAGTGCTCTTCATCTCCTCCAGACCCATCCTCCCTCCAGGGGAGCTCTTCTGGCAATGGGCCATCGAGCCTCACTGCAGGACTGAGAAAATTCCATCATCCCACTGGGAATGCTCTGCCCAGGGGAGGAGCCAAGCATTCCCAGCTGGATTTAATCAGAGAATCAGAATGATAGTAAAAGGTTCTAAAATCTTGGAAAATTCAGAGACTTAGAAAGAAAGTTGGGTTTGGCAAGCCCTGGGAAAAGCAGGCCCTGAGAAATGTTAGGCCTTGTGCTTGGTAAAGATCAGGTCAAACTGTACCTGTGTAATCAGTATATGATAAATGATACAATTGTTAGATGTGATTAGGTATAATTATTTTTTAAAGAACATGAGGAACAATGTTAGGGGGCTGGGCGGGATCACGAGAAATCCATGCTTGGGTAAAAACAATGCCTACAATAGAACAATGTAAGTTTAATAATTAATATGTAAGTTATATAATGATAGAGTATAAAATATGTTCAACTCAAAACCAAATCAGGTCAGATTTGGGTTGTGCACCCCTGACACCCAGAGCTCTTCAATAAAGCACCTTCATATAACCATTCAGTGATTATGTGTGATCCTGAATGCTAACAAGAACACCACAGGCAGTTTTATCCAGAGGAGCCTTGTCCAGAATTCCCAGAGGAGAGACCGGACCCATCTACACCACTGGAGATTTCCACACCCTTCTACAGGATCAGTGCTTCAACAGAACCACGTCACTCAACACCGCCACCATTTAATGGGACTGCCACCAACACCCTGACCAACAGGCTGTATTCTGTATTCTGACAGTATTCTGACTGTCAGTGGGTTGGGGTTTTTTTTTTGGTTCAGTGTTTTGTTGGTTTTTTTGTGTTTTTTTATTTTGTTTTGTTTTGGTAGTACTGCATTTTTCTTTTAATTTCCTTAGTAAGGAGCTGTTATTCCTATTCCCATATCTTTGCCCAAGAGCACCTTGATTTCAAGATTATAAGAACTCAGAAGGGAGAGGGGGTGGTTTATATTTTTTTCCATTTCATGGGAGGTTTCTGCCTTCCTTAGCAGGTGCCTGTTCTTTAAAACCAAGGCACAAGGAGAGTTTAAAGCCAGCCTTTGGGGGAAAGGCATTTCCAGGGCAGTCCCAGGTTTTAGGGAGCACGGCTGCACTGGCAGGCTCAATGTGAGCTCTTCACTGCCATAAATCCACAGCAGAGCCTGGCAGGGTCACCCTGTCCCTGTCACCCAGGTTTGGGAATCTCCCAGTGCTGCTGGGCCAGCTCAGCACCCAGATTGTGACACTGGAGACCAATCTTTGCTCAGGTTTAAATTTAGCTCTGATCCTAACGAGTGTTGGACCAGATTTAAGCCAAGGGATGAACAAGGACTCTCAGACAGTTCAGTTCTCTGTGTTCAGTGATCTGGGTGGGGCTTTGTTCTAAACCAGTGATCCCAGTTCTGCCAGCATTCCCAAAAATCCAGCAATGCTTCCTTTTGCAAAGCTGAGCAGGGACGCCTGGCCAGGTTTCCACTTGGATTTTCCTGAAATGAGAATTCCAACCTGAATTGTTTGGTTGGACCCAACTGCTGCTTGTGCTCAGGGTTCATCGGGAGCCTTGGGTTGTCCTGTCTGTAAAAAAAACCACTGTGTTGTCTAAATAATCATTTCAGGAAATAAAACGTTCTGAGATGAAGCAGTGTCGGAGTTTTTTGATTTCTGTGACTGAGAAGAATGTGATAAGGAATGAAATTGCTGTAATTCTTTTCATGGGAGTTTGCAATTTTGTTGAAACAGTTGAAGTCATTAATTTGTGAGTCACTCAGAGCTGCCAACAGGATTTACCTGTGTTTGACAATAACCTGAACTCCCAAAGGTAATGGTCCTGTGGGTTGTTTGTCTTGAAAAGACTTTTTTTGGTTGTAATTTTTACTATGTACACGTTTTTCCAGGAAATGTCTGGAAAACTCCCAGCAGCACTCCCCAGCCAGGCAGGAGCTGTGTGGGACTTGGATTTTAGACTCCCCTGAGGAAGATTTGCTCCACAGGTCCAGTCTCAGCTGAGTTATTAAACTAACGAAAAGCCACCTCTAAATGCCATTTTCACACAATTGTCCAATATTTCCCCCTGAGAATTGTCACTGCTAATTGGATCCATTTCTTTTCTGACCTTAAATCCTCATCCTCAGAAGAGTCTCCTGACAGCAGGTTTTCTGGTTTATGGGAATAGATTACTTTTTATCTGAAAAGTTTAATAGAGATTTAATCTCACCCCATCATCTCCCAGCTTGAACAGGGACTTTTTCCTCCAAATTTAGCACTCAAATAACACCAAAACTCCACATTTGTTATGAACTTTGTTTTTTTAAGAGTAGTGTGGGGGGGGTTTAGTCTCTTCAGAACTGTGCTTGTGTTTTTAGAGAGTGTTTTAGACATTTAACATCTGAGATTTTATGTTGGGACTTTCCATATTTTACTTAACCTTGTTCAAAGCTACAGTCTTGACCTCAAATGTTAATTAATGTAATTTTTCTGAGCTTCACATAGCTTATAACCTCGTGATAATGCTGACCAAGCTCAGAAGAAAGGGTGTAAGAATGGTTTGGGTTTACTGATACCAGTTCTAGGATTGGTTCTTGTTAATAAATAGTGAATTTGCATCACCCAAATACAAAGTACAGCAGGATTAAGACCTGCAAAGCACAATAAGCACCTAAGTCCATGAGATCAGAGCACCAAAATCCCAATTTTTGGGGAGTGGAGGTTCAGTTTGTTGGTGCTAATGTGTGAAGTAACAGTTAAACCTCAGCAGATTTAACTGACTCCAGCTCTTCTAATTGGAGTAGAAAGCAGGTGGAGGAAGGGGAGCTCTCCAAAACTCACAGGCAAGTTGTGAATGAATTCCTTGATTGAGGGAGGTGGATAGGGACATCTGCAGGCACAATAAAGCCTGATCCCCCCCAGGTTTTAATAAAAATACTGTCTTTTAATAAAGCATTGAAGAATAAAGGCCTGTGGGGAGGTGCCTGGGAGCTGCTGTGAGCTCCCAGCACAGGAGCCACGCTTTGATTAAAACATCAGATGTTCCTCCGTGCTTGTTCAGCCTCATTCCTAAGTATCAAAAGAGGCTGTTCACACAAGGATTTGTTTGTTTACAAGGATAATTCTTGTTAACTGACAGTTTAAAGAGAATTACTGAGGCCTCCAACATTGATAGGCTGGTATTAAGGAGGGTATTAAATCCTGGCCTTGGATTCAGTTAAAGTGTTCTTTTTCCCCTCCCTCCTATCCAGAAAATTTAATAATCCAGAGCTGATGATCATTACACAATCAGATGAGTGATGGAAATAAAATTCCCACTGAACAGGAGTGGTTGAAGGGGTGGCTGTAGAGGTCCCAGGGATCTCCTGCAGATGTTCCCAGCGCAGCAGTGCTGGCACAAATCTCTGGACTTTACATCCAGCACCCAAAATCATTTACAGAAGCTCTTCCACTCACCTTTAAAAGAAAATAAAAGTGGAATAAGGGACAACTTCAGCTGGATGGATCTTTAATGCCCCTGGAACCCAGGGAGTGTTCCAGGCCAGGCTGGATGGGGCTTGGGGCACCCTGGGACAGTGGGAGCTGTCCCTGCCATGGCAGGGGTGGCACTGGGTGGGCTTTGAGGTCCCTCTCAACCCAAACCACTCCAGGATTCCATGAGTCTGTGTTTTTATGATTTAAAATAGTACTGGCATTAAAAAAAACACCTGTGAAAGGAGGAGAAAGAGCTTTATTAACAACGTGACTGAGGTCAGAGCAGAACAGAAACCGGCACAGTGAGATGGGAAAGTGGGAGAAAATTCCCTAAGAGTAAGGAAAACAAAAAGAAAAACCCTAACCTCCAGCAGTAATGTAAAAAAGATTAAAAATGGGCTGTATCTGGTGAGTATTTTTGGTTTCTTTTTTGATGGAGCAGCTTTTAAGGGGAGATTTTTGCTACTGAATTACCCAGATCATGTTAATGCCATTTTTCCAACCTGAAAACTACAGAAATTCAAACCCTCCCATTTCAACTCCGATCCATGTCTTAATACAGCAGGATTTATCAATATAAACATCTCCAGAGGATTGTTTGTTGTGAGTTCTGAACAACTTCCTTTTTTTGTTGTTTTTTTGGGGTTTTTTTTTGCCCAGCATTATTTTCAACTTCCAGCTTCTGGTCCTTCGACGAGGACGAAAATGCCTTTTGACACGCCTGGAAATGGAAATCGTATCTGACCATTCCTGCCAAGGATCTGGCTGTGGCACCTCCCTGCTGCCATCCAGCTGCTTGAAAAGGTCACTTTGGAGACTTCATCTGTGATGGAACAACATGCGAAGGAGAATTCCTCAGGGGAGCCCGTGACATTCATGGGAGACGGGAAACGCTGCATTAATAGGCTGGAGTCGGCTCTTCCTTGGCTTTATTTTAGGTATAAAGGACAGCAAAGTGCCCCTTAAAGCCACTGCTTCAGTAAGGTTGGGTTTAGCCTACAAAAAACCAGAGGGGGGAAAACGTTTGCTGAGGATTGATGGGAAATTTTCGTGATTTGGATTAAAGGTGAGTAAGAGACTTTTGCAGATCAGGGAGTACATTTGGAAATATCAAATTTTGTTCTGTGTTCCCCTTGGCTACTCAGGGCTATCACAAATTCCAATATTTTCTGTTCAGACACACCCTGCCTATGCATTTTTTGCTATTTGAGGAACACCTTTAGGAAATTCCAGATCTCAGTTTTATTTCCATGTAGTAAGAGGCGTCCTCCCTCTACACAACCAGTTCAAAACCTTGGATTTTTCAAGACAAACCATTTACAACAGACTTTTTTTTCCTATTTCTCTGATTTTATTTCCTATTTCAATAACTTCTTTTCCTGTCTCTATTGGTTGTTTTTTTTCCTATTTCTATAATTCATTTATTTTTTTTCCTATTTATCTCCTTGTTTCCACTGCAGCATCGCTGTAGCCAGCTGGGATTAGCAGGCTCTGAAACAGCTCTGAGCTGGACTCTGATGTTGAATCCCATCTTTTAAGAGCTATTAAGATGTTAAAAAATTAATAATGGCCTCTCTTCCCACTGGCATCCCTTGAACTTTGTCTCTGCCTGTCAATCTTGGCTGGACTGTCTGTCAAAGGGATGGAAGGTATTAATTAGTCAACCAAAATCCCACTTTTTCTGGGATTTTTCCTGGCTAATATGGAAAGAAAAACCTCTGAATAATCTCATTCTTTTAAAAATGATGGCTGATATTCTCTGGCTGAGCAGAGCAAATAATGGTTAAAAAGTTGTTTATTAGATAAAAAAATTGGGATTTTTAGAATCCAGGGGATACTGGATAAAAACCAATGGATGGAGTTTGACAGCAGAAATCAAATCAATCTGGATTTTCCCCCATCTTAAAGAGGTTTTTTTAATCATTGTATTTAAATTTTCCCTGGACCAGATTTTTTCAAATAAAAAGCAAATTTTTTCATTACTTATAAATTTGTAAATGAAAGGTTTCAGCAATCTCAAACACTTATTTTTTTGGCTGGCAATACTTGCCTAAATTTCTCATCTGACAAGAATGAGAGATTTCAAATTAGTGAAATGCAGTTTGTGCTTATTTTTTTAAAAAAATAATCCCTCTAAATGATAATTTTCAAATTGATAAGAGAGCTAATGGTGATCCATGAACTAGCTGCTGATGGATTCTTTTGTCAAGACCCTGAATATTGGGAATTAATTTCCCTGACTTTTCATTCTTGCCATGAATTTGATGCAAAGCTCTCCCTTTGCAGTGTTGGGCTGCTATAAAGCATTTACCATTCCCACAGTGCTGCTGCTGTAGGAAAATCCCCTTTTTTTTACCTATTTCTCTAATTTTATTTCCTATTTCAATAATTTCTCTTCCTATCTGTATTATTTATTTCCTACTTCTATAATTTTTTTCCCTATTTATCTCCTTGGACAGAGCAAATAGCTACAGGCTGAAGGGGTGAGCGTTCATTTTGGCTGCTGAAGCACCAAACAAGACTTGATATTGATTATTTAAAATATTCCCAGCCCTCAGCAGAGGGAGGCTGCAGCCCAGGGGGAGCAGATGTGCCCTGAGGCAGCTGGCAGAGGAATTGCTCCTGGTGGGATTTGCTTTCAAATGGCACCGGTGAGAATCCAGCAGGCCTGGATTCCCCTCTGGAATTGTGTTTTGTTGGAAGCTGTGTCCCGAGAGCTGTGGGAGCAGCAGAGCTCTCCACAAAGCAGAAAATGTTCTCATCACCCCCTCTCCATCTTTGCCTCTCTGATGTGCTGAGGTTTTAATACAAGGAAAATCAAAACGCACCTCACTTGAACCAAAGGAAAGGTCAAACATCCACACCTGAATCCAGGGAAAGGCCAAAACCCACCACAGCTGAACTCAAGGAAAATAAAAATCCCATCACAGCTGAACTCAAGGAAAATAAAAATCCCATCACAGCTGAACTCAAGGAAAATAAAAATCCCACCACAGCTGAACTCAAGGAAAATAAAAATCCCACCACAGGTGAACTCAAGGAAAATAAAAATCCCACCACAGCTGAACTCAAGGAAAATAAAAATCCTACCACAGCTGAACTCAAGACCAAAACCCAGTACAGCTGAACTTGAGGAAAGGCCAAATCCTGCCACACCTGAACCCAGGGAAAGGCCAAACCTCCACACCTGAACCCAAGACAGGCCAAATCTCCACACCTGAAGCCAAGGAAAGGCCAAACCTCCACACCTGAACCCAAGACAGGCCAAATCTCCACACCTGAAGCCAAGGAAAGGCCAAACCTCCACACCTGAAGCCAAGGAAAGGCCAGACTTCCAGACCTGAAGCCAAAGTGTGCCAAGCCCCACACCCCTGCGCCTGTGCCTTCTGCTGCTCTCAGAATTCCTCCAGTTTAGCCACATTTGGAGTTTTCCCTGCTCCCACTGCCCTGAACTGTGCTTTGTGCGTGGCCTCTGTGCCCTCACGGGGCAGCTCCACCTTGAGCAGGATTTCATTGAGGTTTTTGTGCAATCCTGAGCTGTTAAGAGTGAGGAATACTTGGAATTGCTGCCTGTTGAAGGCCTGGAATTCATCCTTGTCCAAGCTCAGCCTGGCAGCTGATTTGGGCACAATCACACAGCAAAATCACCCATTTGGACCTTTCCCAGCATTTTGGGGCCAGTTTATCCATGATTTCCCTGTGCTCCTCAAAGGTAAGGCTGGAGGAGTAGATCCCCTTCTGGGGCCTGAGTGGTTTAAATCATCCAGGAGTCATCACTCTGTGTATGCTTTAATTTGTAGCTTTGCCTAAATTATGTGGAGTCCTTCAAAAGGGAAAAAAAAAAAATCAATTTGACTTTGGCAGCTGTCTCCACAATGGCTGCCAATCACCAGAGGATCTTGGCTATTTTTAAGTCTCCTGAAATCAGTCTGCATTAAGGCAATAGCTGGGCTTGGATTTAAGCCCAGGACTCTATCAATATAAAATGATTTGTTGTAAGTTTAAAGATGCTTCATCCCTATTCTCTCTCTTTTCATTTGCATTTTAAGCTTTCATCAAAACGTGGATCAACAATCCTAATGGAGCCTTTTTGTCCTCCATCCTACTTTTTCTCCAAAGAACACTGCGTGTTTTTAACCTCAGCCTGACATGAGGGGGTTTTTCCTTCTGTTCTAACAACAAGGCCCAGTTTGTTCATTGGAGGAGCCCAAACTGAGCCTTTCCTTGTGGCACTGGAATGTTTTCCAGTAAAGTTCTGAGGGACAGAAGGTGTGTGATTGAGGGAGGGACGGGTTGGAAGCAAAAGGGAGATGATCCTTCATCTAGCAGTGGGTGGAAACAATCATTAAATAAGATTTTATTTTCCCAGATTCAAGAGTGATGAATGTGTATCAGACAAACCCTTCCTGGTCATTTTCACCAGGGATGGAGTGACAGGACAATGGGGAATGACCTTCAAATGAAAGAGGAAAGGTTTGGGTGGGATATTGGGAAGGAATTCCTCCCTGTGAGGGTCCAGAGGGGCTGGGATGGAATTCCCAGAGCAGCTGTGGCTGCCCCTGGATCCCTGGAAGTGCCCAAGGCCAGGCTGGAGCAGCCTGGGACAGTGGGAGATGACCCTGTCATGGCAGGGGTGGCACTGGATGGGATTTAATGTCCTTCCAACCCAAGCCATTCCAGGATTCCATTGCCAGACCAACCCTGGATGGGTTCAGGACACTCCCCTGCAGCTGGGATGACATTTATCATTCATTCATTCATTTATTCATTCCACTGTTCTCCATAGTCTGTTTGGAATCGTGCTCACAAGGGGAATAGTTGGGATTTTTTTTCCAACCATCAAGTTTCTCATCCCTGATTTTGCCATTCCCTTCTGTCATTCCAAACTTGCACGGGATCCTTGTGGGCTTTGCTCAGAGAGGTTCCCCCAAAGGAAAACGGGAGAACCGCAGCCAGTTCTGTGCTGAAATCACTTTGTGATTGAGTAGAACCGTGCTAGATCCACGCTTCTTTTAATAACAATTTCAAAAACCACGATAATGTTCATTGCTTCAGCTTCTCATTAATAGGAGCATCATTTCCCTGTGTGTTTTTTCCCAAATTTGCAGGGATTTCTACAGCGGCCTTCATTTTACAAGAGAAAGAATTTTACATTTACATTTTGGGCCTCAATTTTTTAATTTTTCTGAAAATTTTCAAGATATGTGATTCTAAAAACCTTATAAAAATAAATTTCAATTATAAAAGAAATTTCAGCTTGTTGCTTGGTCTGTGCTGAAAAGGCTGAACTGGTTTTTTGCAGCTTTGCTGTAAATATTTGTTAAAAATAGCATAAAAATAGCATCACTTGATGAGTTTGAGCTGACTCTGGTTCCTTACACGAAATTAAAGCAGAGCTGTTTGATGTTCTCTGTGGCTGAGGGAGTGGCTGATAAAGAAATATCAATTTTCTTGCCTGTCCTCTTTCTAAATATGCATCAGATGTCCTACAAATCAAACTGGTTGGTTGTTTTTCAGCTCTTTTGTGGGCATTTTGCAGCAGCATTAACACCTCAGGATAAAAAAAAAGGAAAGTTCATTTTCATTCCTTATTTAATTCCCTAAAGTTTCATAATTTGTCTAATTTCTGGGCTTTTGGCATGAGAAGCTCCCTGGCTCTGTCAGTATTTCCACTCGTGGCTCAGCATTTGGACCTCTTTGGTTTATCAGCAATGTAAGGAAAATCTTCCTGGAGGTTTTCCATCAAACCCATTTGGTGATGAAGGAGGGAACATCTTTTCCAGTGCTTTAAAACAGGAGCCATAAATTCTGGACTGAACTCCCAATGCCCTTATTAATAGAGAAGGGATTTTTTCAGCACGCCCCTGACCTGGGGAGGGAAAAGGGCTGGGAAGGGGAATGTTCTGAGTGCGGAGCTGGACGTGATTTAGAGGAGGAGTTTTTGCTCCTTGATGCCAAGTGCCTTCATCCAGAGGCATAATCCCAGTTCCTGTCACTCTCTGGGGCTGAGGGAAGCGAGTTTACAAACTTTGGCTTCACCAGGATGGTTCACTTTGGAATAAATTCCATAAAATCTGTTTTAGGGGGAAAATGATGGCAGTTTTCAAAGCTCCCTGTGAGTGTCCACTGTGTAAACGCTGCTCTTTGTCCCATCCTTACATAACCTTAAAAAAGTAGCCTGGAATTAATAAGATGCAAATCAAAGGGGGAGGAAAAACGGGTCCCAACCAATCATTGTGGCAAAAATAGCCCCAAAAATCAGGGTGTTCATAAAAGTGTCCAGTCTCAGTGCTATGCAGAACCAATAAAATCAGCATAAACAGAACGTAACCTTGAGAGGAAATAAATCCACTCCAACGTCCTGAAGGAGAAATAATCCCTTGGGCTTGGTGCCAGGCAATGCAATGTTGGCTTCTAATTGCCTGGAGAGAATAAAGGAGCCAAATGTCCAAATCCAGCTGTTCCTGCAAGCCCAGGATGTTCCTGCTGACAGCCAGGGGCTGCCATCCCATTTATCAGGGAGTTATTCACCAACAACTGAGGTTGTCGCATGTCTGGGCTTTATAGCTGAGGAAATCAGGAAAAAAAGACATTTGGGGATCAAGGACTTTTTCCTTTGCCAGCTGATTCGCCCCCTGGAATTCCAAGGGAGATTTTCTACTAGACCAGGTAGCTCAGATGAAGTTTTATCTGTAATCAAACACTTCTTGCAGGGGATTGCTGGGTTCTTAGAGATGCTCCAGGGGTCCCTGAGTGACTCTGGGATCAGATATTTTGTGGCAAGGTCTCAAAGCCTTTGTGTCACCTGCTTAGAAAAGAAACCATCTGCTGCAAGGAAATCTAACTTCTGAAGATTACCTCAGTACTTCATTTTTCTATAAATACAAATCTCAACAGCCCACTTTACTCATCCACCCTGAGCAATGTAGTTCCCATGAATTTAAAATACATTGATAAAGCATGAAATAGAAACTTTTCCTCCCCTCAAGGTGCTCAGAGTTGGGGTTTTTTGCTTTATTTCCCCAAATATGGGAAATTAACACCAAGGAAATTACGAGGATTAAAGGAGAGAGTGACTGATTTTTATTTTCAAGCATTATTAGAGCATAAATACATTTAGATGGGTTAATACATTTTGTTATTCAGCTGAATCTCAGACAGGGGAATTACCAGGGAAAGACAAGATAGGAAGAGTTGGATTGGGGCACTTCACTGAAAATAGCTGGAAAGCAGCAGAGAATTCCCTGTATTGATTTTGGGATCATTTGAATTTCATCTCTGTAATGGGATAGACGATGTGAATGGGAAGGGCAGGAGAAAGGGATCCAGAGGATGAGAATATTTAAATGCAGAGCAAGAACATCTTAGGGAGCAATTGAATCTTAATATCTGGCATTGCTTTTTGTTTGAGGGCCGAGCCTGTGCCTCACCTAAGAGCAACTCCTACTGAAATTCAAATCCTTGGAACCCATTTCTGCTCCTGTCCAGCTTTGCCAGCGCTGAGCAGGAAGATGAGGAATTCCTCAGGACAGCGAGGAGCTTGGATTAAATGAAATAAGGAGCAAGGGAGATTAAATGAAACAGTAGATTTCCAAGGCAGTGATCTTTCTGTTCTGGCCTGGGGGATGAACCGCACGAGCCCCTGGATGCAGGAGCCAGGAGCCCTCGGAATCAGCCCTTCCCTGAGTGCAGGACTTACAGGAGTCATCTCTGGATGTATTTTTCTGCCTATCCCATTATTTCCCGATGCTTTTGGGCTGGAGCAGCTCCCAGGGTGAACAGGGATGTTCCCCAGGGGCTTTTGTGTGGACCTGCAGGTCTGGGACCTCCCCGGAGCTTTGTCTTTATTAGTGCTGGGTTAAAGAGCTTTTCCTCATTCCAGCAGTGCTTTTTGTCTTACCACATTATAACACGATCATTACCTGGCCAATTAAGGGCTGTTCCAGGTTTTTATGGGAGTTCCCAGCAGTTCCCACTGCAGAGCTTTGCTCTGATTTAAGCCCAGGGCTGCAGGTGACACAAACATTTAACAGCAGGGCTAAAAGGACAGGGCAAAGGTGGGCAGGGAGGGAGATGCTCTGGAAGAATTGGAGTAGGAGGTCAGGGAGGAGACCAAAGGGTTGAAGCTCTCAATTTAAAATACTCTTTCAGGCTTTAAAAGCCTAATGGAGGTGAGGTTGCCTGCCAGGGTCACCAAAGGGTGTTTATTGCTAATTAAACACCAAACTGTGCAGGGCAGCTCAGGTTTGGATGTACCTGAAACTCAATTTTTTCCTTTTCCAGCACTGTGTATAAAATTCCCCCAGTGTGATCTGCTGGAGCCGAGTCTCTGTTGATGTTTCCAGTCTCTTTTTATGTTGCCAGTGACAGGAGGAGACATTTTTCCCTTTGAAGGCAGCACCAGGTTGCTGCTCCAGCCCTGCTTGTTTACAGATCCATGAAAACCAGAGGGGATCACTGGGACCTGGAGATGCTTTTTAGGAATCAAACGTCCTTACCCCAGGAATAACTCACTGCTGGAAAAATATCTGGAATTTGGAAAGCTTCTTTGAATATTTCCCCCTGCTCCTTCACTGTGGTTTTGTTCAGCTGTGCCTGGAGTTAATCTTTCTCTTCAGTAAATTATTCCCAAAAATACAGTTTTAGGGGCAGGGAAACATTCATCACCTGCAGGAATGTTCATTAAAAGCTCTCAAACCAAACTGAATGGCACTGTCCAGTCAGGCCTGGATTTGGTGACCTTGGATGTCATTTCCAGCCTCAGCAATTCCAGAATTCTGTGCACTTTGGTGGTTGGAATATGTATTTTTAAAAACAGGGAACAAATGGAAAGGGAGCTTAGGAATTTCCAGATAAAAAAAAAAACAAAACCAGTATTGCTTTCCCCTCACATTTCCCATTCTGATTTTGTTTTCCAAACAGGAGGTTTTGTTTGCAAGGAAAATTTTTTCAGAACATTTCAAATTTTTCCTTGTTTTTTCAGAGTTTGGCCATTCATGACCACTCCTGATTTTGTTGTGTGTGTTTCTCAC